CCCCAAAACCCCAAAACCCCAAAACCCCTTATCATAAATTTCAAATTGAAAGTTGGTTTAGAACCTATGCCTTCACTCAAACCTGAGCTCTTCGATCCCTCTTTCTTCCCAACCTACCAATTTCTCCCTTAAACCCTTTCAAAAATTCAACTTTACCTCCCAATTTCACCCAAAAATATTTTCCTCCAATTTCCAAGTCTTCTCTTTCTTTTACATATTCTAAAATTTGTTAAATTCTGAGTTGATTCTTTTCTCTTATATAAAGTTTATTCTGGTTTTTTCCAGAGGCCTTATCTTCTAAAGAATCCTTTACATGACTGGCGATGTTCTGGAGTCGGAAAATATAATTTTAAGTAGGCTGAATGGAAATATTGGGATGAGATTAAGCAGGCTTGGGGGAGGAGGGAGAAGAGATGTCTCATAATTGAGTATAAGTTATAAGAAGAATTCGAACAACCAGAAGGGTATAATAGAGAGAGTTTTGGAATTTTAGATATGCGTAGTGGTAAAAAGCGTTAAAGAGGAGAATATTATATTGTAAGTAATGAAGATGCGTCATTCATACTTTTTATGGGGTTTATAGTCATCTTCATCTTTCATTTAGTTGAATCTTATTTTATGGATCTTTGAAATATCTGGAGGAAAGTTGATATTTTAGGATCTAATGGTTGTGTTTCAAATACTAAGCTGATTTTATTTTATATTTTTCTTCAGAAGCAAGAATCATCAGCACTCCAATGAATTCTTCCTCCTTGGGTGTTTCTTCGGTTTTTATTTGCATCAAATTTTTTGTAACATTTTTGACATTTTTAAATAATTTAACTGATTTGGAAGGACCTCTAAAATAAAAATGGCTTTCGACTATCTGAAAGAGGTTCTTACTTTTCCTATTACAGTTTCGATTCTTTATTGACTTGCCTCTCTGATGTTTTATCTATAAAGATATTTTCAAGAATTATTCATAGTTTTTAATAGTATCTCGCTACAGTTAGAGAGATTTCTTAAATTACAATGTTTTTTTAAAGATCTCCAAATTTTTCAGTGTAGAAGGGTAAGACTAACAATAGTAAGAGGTTCTTTGTTAGAGGAGATATCAATACCAAGAAACATGCCATAGATCGCTAAAATATTAATAGAATGAGTTATTACAAGCTATTTTATCTTCTATTCTATAATCCCCAAAACGGCTATTATAAAAATGTCGCGTCTTCACCTCAAAATCTCCTAAACCCCCTCAAAACACCTCTAACACCTTCCCCTCTAACCATATCACCCCCAAAACCCTTCTCCAAATTCCCTGCACAAAAACCCTCTTTTCCTCTAAAACTCCTCCATCCTCATTCTATCTCCCTCTAGCACCCTCTTCTCATCCAAACCCATTGCTCCCCAAATCCAGTTTCCTCATACAGTAAAATTTCCAATTCTTTTCTAAAACTTTAACTCAACATGAATCTGCTGAGTTTCGTAAACCATGTTTTGGGTAAATAACAAAAAGACGAAACTTAGGCTGTCGAAGAGAAGAGACAAGTGGGTTTAGTGCAATTAATGCAGGACTTTTTTAGAGACTTATGGCTGGGTTGGGATGGGCTTTAAGTGGAGATTTTAGGGGAAGTTAAGATAGCAAGGTTTTAATAATTTTGATTAAGTTTATTCCCTGGCTTGATGTCATTCATTGTGATCAAAGGCTCAATGATAGAACCTTTGTTTATATTTTCGGACATTGACCTTATCTCATTTTTCTTTCAAAGTTTAGAACCTCCAGTTATCCCATGTTTGAATTCCTTGTATTTTCTTGATCTTTTTCTATAACAAGACACTTTATATGATTGGATTTTTCTTAAGATTCTGAACTTCTTAGATAGATAAGGCATCCAGACAGGTCTGGAGAAAGTAGCTTCTTTGTTGGTGCGGATGATTCCATCATCTTCTGTAGAAGAACGATATCTTTTAGCGAACTGGTCCTTCAACGCGTGCATAAACCCATCGAATTCCTCGCTCTTGATGCTTCCTTTGTTGCTTCAAAGCAAGCTCTGGTGTCACTGTTTGGTTGGACTCAGCGAGTTCGAAGACACTGGAGACTCTTCTGGAATCTCGCACAGGTCATCGCCCATGGCTTGAACCTGAAGCAGAAGGTAAGAATAACGCTTAAATTGGAGTGCTTAAAACAAGGGAATGCTAACCGAGACTTACAATGTATTCAGGGTTGGTATTATCCATTTTATTAATTTATTAATAGTATTTGTAATCATATCCAATATCTTATCTCCCATTTGGGGTTTTGGGGTTTTGGGGTTTTGGGGTTTTGGGGTTTTGGGG